GTATTGCATGGCGGGAAAGTACTTCTACTTATAGAAAAGCTCTTAAAAACTGCTAGATCTGCTTACTTTTCGTCTCTCTTAGAAGAAAACAAACACAACCCTAGACATTTATTCAATACAGTGGCTAAATTAACGAAAAATAAAGCATCAAGACACAGACCTTTCCCAACAGCACAGCAGTAATGACTTTATGAACTTCTTTACTTCCAAAATCGATACTATTAGAGATAATATTATAACCATGCAGTCGTCAGCCACAGTATCGCAACAGATAGCACACTATAGATCCCCTGAGGAACAGTTCCACTCATTATCTGCTATAGGACAGGAAGAATTGTAAAAACTTGTCAAATCATCAAAACCTACAACATGTATGTTAGACCCTATTCCATCTAAGCTACTAAAAGAGGTGCTTCCAGAAGTCATAGATCCTCTTCTGAATATTATTAATGCATCAATGTCTTTAGGATATGTCCCTAAAACCTTCAAATTGGCTGTTATTAAGCCTTTCATTAAAAAAACACAACTTGATCCTAGAGAATTAGTTAATTACAAACCGATCTCAAATCTCCCTTTTCTGTCAAAAATACTAGAAAAGGCAGTATCCTCTCAGCTATGTTTCTTCTTAGAGAGAAATGGGATCTCTGAGGATTTCCAGTCAGGATTTAGACCTTATCATAGTACGGAGACTGATCTCATCAGAGTTACAAATGACCTGCTCTTATCATCCGATCGTGGTTGTATTTCTCTATTAGTGCTACTGGATCTTAGGGCTGCGTTTGACACTATCGACCACAACATTCTTTTGAGTAGACTACAAAATTATGTTGGCATTAGTGGAATTGCATTGTCATGGATCAAATCTTACTTATCTGACCGTCATCAATTCGTAGCAGTAAATGATGAGATATCATATCATTCACAAGTACAGTATGGAGTGCCACAAGGCTCAGTACTAGGACCATTGCTTTTTACACTTTACATGTTTCCCTTGGGAGATATCATCTAGAAACATGGTGTTAGCTGATGATACTCAGCTCTATATTTCTTCGTGGCCTGATAAAACCTACAAATTTGCAGAACTAACGGAATGCATACTTGATATAAAAAACTGGATGACTAGCAATTTCTAGGGGTGTAAAGGTACACGTATTCGTACCGTACGGTTCACTGGGCAAATTTCAAATGAAAGTGCACGTCAGCTCCGCTGATCCACTGAC